CTATAGATAAATTTTTAACTGTCCTCAGCTCTAACACCCTAATGCTCATGGCTGATTTGCCAGGATCTCCCCTTTCTCCCTCAGAGAGTTCACTGGCTGGCCTGGTTAGTATCTTGAAAAGGGTCTATTACTACAACCTGTGGTTGCCTGTCTTGCAGGTCTGCTTGTACTCAGCGTTTGAATCACCATTCTAGTTAAGACACTAAAAAATTCTTTAAAATAGTTTCTTTCAGAGCTATTTGTGAAACTCGTATGCTATTTTGACTACCTAAGGCGATTGACTACTAACCAGAAGGCTGGTGTTTCAAACACGCCAGCCATTCCTCGGAAGGAAGGGTGGGCAATCTACTTCCATAGGGATATCACCTGGGATACCAAAGAGGGAGTTGCTATTAGTCGGATCCAACTTCACGGCAGTGAGTGAGAGTGAGTAGTGCAGTAAACCAGTTGTCATTGAGTGGACTCCAACTCATAGCAACCTCCTGTGTGTCAGAGTAGAACTGTGTTCTATAGAGTTATCAGTAGCTGATTTTTCAGAAGTACATCACTAGACCTATCCTCCAAGGTACCGCTGGTGGACTCAAACCGGCAACCTTTCGGTTAGCAGCTGAGCTTGATAATTGTTTGTACCATCCAAGGCCTCCCATGAACAAGAGCTCAGCCTTATCTTCCAGTGTTACCCTCCTTTACAAATAAGAAGAAATACTGCTAGTTTTATATGGGTTAATCTCCATTTTTAAGAACAAATATTAGTACTATTAGCTAAATGGATGGTGGTGCGAACCGACTCAGAGGTGCCTTGAAAGACAGGTCTGCTGTTCTATTCTTCAAAACTCTATGGAACATTTTACCCTGCACACATGAGGTTGTCATGACCCAGAATTGACTCAATGGCAATTAACAACAAACAAATTGAAATAATATTGGCAAAATAACAATTGGAGTATAATTTCTTATTCTGATTTTTAATGCTAAAAAGATAGTAATTTTATTGGTGCTATTTATCCCTGTGATTCTGTGATCTTGTGTTAGCTAAGAGTGTTCAATCTCTTGCATGTGTTCAATGTTGTGAAGTTTAAAGAAAGGTAAGGTTTGTGAAGCACTTACCACAATGTCTGAATACACAATATATGTTTCTTAGTTGTGGTGCTTTACTATTTTCTTACCATTTTGCCTTTTCCCATATTGTTATTTTTCCTGAAATGTACTTATTTCCTCCTAAACTTTCCTATTCCATCAAGGAGCTCTGGTGGCATAGTGCCTAAGGCATTTGACTGTTCACCAGAAGGTTGGCGGTTCAAACCCACCAGCCACTCCATGGAAGGAAGTGACCTACTTCTGAAAATTCAGCCACTGAAAACTATGGAACACAGTTCTACTGCTGACACATGTGGGTTCACCATGAGTCAGACTAGATTTGACGGCAATGAGTAACTGGTTCTAGTAACTGGTATAACCTCATTTAGACACTGAATCCCATTCTGTGCTCTGAGCTCTAAGAAGCTCATTTAACTGACTTATGGTTCTCCTCTATGCCTTTGCCTTTTTTTTTTTTCATCTTTTGGAAGGGATAAATACTAAGTTTAAATTGTCCACATACTGATAATATCAGAAATTTCTGGAGCACTAATCTAAAAGTTCCCCATGTACTACCTTATGTAACCGTCACAACATCATCTGGTAGGAATCCCTTTGCCCTTGTTTTGTGTTCCCATTCTGGACTTCCTCATTCATTGCTACCCTGGGAGGAACTGAAGAACAAGGCTGTGGCTGGCAGCATGGTCCATGATCATGGATCTGGGGTAGGCTTAGGAAGCCCACGATTACCAGACACCAAAGCTACACATTCTCCTGCCTGATATTTTGATCTCTGTCTGACTTTTTTGTTTCTCAATTGTTTTCAACTGGTATTAGAAATCAAGTGGGTCACTTATACCTCTTCAAATCCCAGAAAACTACTTTTATGATTTACCTGCTATTATTAGTTAACAGATGATGAAACTGAGGTACAGAGAAGGAAAATAGCTTGCTCAAGGTAAACAAACAGCAGAGTGTGGACCTCACCCAAACAGTCAAATTCTAGAAATTCCTTGTGATTATTATTATATATTATGTAGTGCCTCGGAAGGAAGGTTGGGCAATCTACTTCCATAGTAATAGCACCTCGGAAACCCCAGGAAGGGTCACTATGAGTCAGGTCCAATTCCACGGCAGTGAGTTTTTTGTGTATTATGTAATGCACTTATTATATATAATTATTATTTTATATAGGTGGGTAGACCATTGGAAAAGAAACCCAAATGGCTCAAATAATATAACAAATTATCAAGAATATCTAGGGACATGTTTGGGCTTCTGATATGGAAAGTCAGTTTATCATTTTGCATATCTCTCTATTCCTAAAGTGTAGAGGTTGGGTCATTACTTCATAATTGTTATTTTTTATGTATTGAGTTAAAATATAACATCTAAGAAATCATTTACTATTAGAAATCTGTGGTCTCTAGATTATACAAACATGTATCAAGTGAAATCCCTAATTTGCAAGACTCTCTGATATGAAATTCAAGCCTTAAATTGCAGTATTGAAGGATTCTATGGTCAAAATATTGAACAATGCAGGAAATACCAAGAGAAGATAGAAGGAATTCAGTCAACAGAGGTAACACATAATAAAAAAAACTAACAGTTCTGAAGAAAGGACTCTAAATGGCATTGAAGGTACTGGTGAAAAACAAAGCTCCAGATTTTGACAGAAGACCAATTCAACAAATGGATGCAGTGCTGGAAGTACTCATTCGTCTCTGTCAAGAAATCTGGAAGACAGCTACTTGGCCAAACAACTGGAAGAAATTCATATGTGTTCCCATTTCAAAGAAAGGTGATCCATCAGAATGTGGATATTATCAAACAATATCATTAATATCACACATAAGTCAAATTTTGCTGAAGAGAATTCAAAATTGGTTGTAGCAGTTCTTCAAGAAGACAGCCAGAAATGAGAGTTTCATTGCTGATGTTTGATGAATCTTGGATGAAAGTGGAGAATAACAGAAACATGTTTATCTGGGTTTTACTGACTATGCAAGGCATTTGACTGTGTGGATCATAACAAATTA